CAGATAAAGGCAAAACAGGAGTGACTATTTTCTATATAACCAGTCAGAAAGACCCCAAAGAATCATTTTACTAGAAACAGGTAAGGGACTAGCCTCTGATGTCATGGCAAGCTGCTGTATCCAAAATTGCTCTGGCGACATTACAAAATGAATACAGAGCCCAAAGACAAACATTTTCTCTGAATCAGCAACAGTTGTTCTGTTCTGGAAGGCTTCCAAATTTAACCTCCATTCAGTAGGGGGGAAAAATCCAAAATAGACTGAGAGTAGCCCAAGAGAAGGGGTAACAACAACAATATTTACTAAAAGTACAAAAGGTAAAACTAATGAAATGGGTAGAGAAAGCAAGAGGCATGAGCTATTACATGAAGCTGAAAAGAGTTTAAAAATAAATGAGAAATTATAGGACATACAGATGGGAAATATTTACTTGCTCTTTCAGCTGCTGATCAGAATTCAAATGAAACATCTTTTTGTAAAGATAAATAATTTTTGTGTAATTTCTTGGAAGGATGGTATAAAGCCATGACATGTATCTATTTGCTGCAAATCAACCAGAAGCTATTGAGCTTCATGTAAAAACTGGTTGAGAGGAAGGTGACATAAATATAAATTCCGTAGTAATTCTGAAGTGTTTCAAGTATTGCAGCAGTAGCCACTAGGGAGAAAGCTTATAAGCTTATACACACCTATATGCTTTTGTAGCTAAGGAACACTGAATGATGCAGCGCATCATATATTGAATAAGCAGGACTGGATAGATGAAACTAGAATCTTTTTCTACTCAGTCTTTTCCCAGCTGTCTCAGAAACCACTTCATGCAAACTCCTATCAGATCAGGCTTCAGCTGAAAACAGGTTAGGTTTAAGGGATAGCATGAGTAGGAGAGAAGCCCCTTTTTCCCATGTTTGCTTTGCAGCACTTCTCTATCTAGCATACTAGCTTCAAGCCCAAGGAACAGAAATATTTCTTCAAAACAGTATTTGGTTTCCTCAAATACCTCCCAGCAGTCAGGTATCCTAAGTCTTCCAACAAGTTCAACCCCAGGTGCTCAGAAGAGCAGGCTCCAGAGGGCACTAATAAGCATTTAATGGTCCTGACCCATTTCACCTGGGACCCAGACACATCCCCTCTGCACATAGGGCTGGGAATGCTATTTAAGCCCTGCCTTGGGCCTTTAGCTTTTCCTGAGCTGTGGACTAGGTGTCTGTTTGCAGCTCTATCTCTGGCCTTGCATCCTGGATAGGCAAGTGGTGCTGTAGGTAGATTTTCTTTCAAGTGATCCCTTCAGGTGTATGTTCTGTCTTGTCTGTAGCTCTCTCCAGCTTGACTTCTAGTTCCTTCTTCCATAGGGAATAACTGCCTCTTGCTATTCCCTGACAGCAATCTCCTGAATAACTGCTGTCTACTTCTGCCCTCCTTTCTAGGGTGTGGAAAAAGAAGTCAGCATAGTTCAGCTGAATCTGCTCTGTTTCAGTGTGATTCAGTGCATCCTGCAGTCTTGTATTTGGCAGAGAGCACAAACTTCAGGGACCCCCTTTTAAGGAATGTGTTCGCTTATTTTAGTAGGGAATAATGAGTCAGACATGCCTGTTTTGGTCTTGGTGTTGTGCCTTTCTTTGCCTCTCACCTTCTTCCCTACCCTGAACAGGTATCTTATTTCCCATTTTATCTTATGATTTCCTACCTAAGTCTTGTTCCTTCCTGCACTCTAATCCCTTACTGCCTCCCCTATCTCTTCCTTTTTAACTGAACAAGTTGTTCTTCTCTAGTTACTTACTGCCTACTCTTCTGTTCTTATTTTGCCCCCTGCTTCACTGCAACAGGCCTCTTTGCAGCTCAATTTCTCTGCCACTAACTGATCTTTCTGCTGTGTTGACTTATGTCTATGAATCGCCTTCCTTATCTGTAGACCTTGGAGGTGTTTATCTGCCCCATTCTCTTTTTCTCCTTGTGAAGCTTCTCCATACCTCACTGTGACCTCATATTATGTTCTTGTTTTCTCCTATGAATGACGTGAGGTGATTCTGCATGAGTTAACAGCTTCCATGAATTAACCCATCCACAGATAAAGTATATGGTGGATTGACTTTTTCTGTCATTATGTTCCACCTTTGCTCTTCAAATCCATCTGTATGTTCTTTTCCTTGCCTTTACCTATACAGAAAAACAGAATTTTCCTCAGACTTTCTAACACTCCCTATAAAAAATTTCTTCCTATCTCCTGTGCTTACTCCTGCCTGCTCGCTAGCTCTCCTGTTTGGCTTTTCAAGGCGTTTGTCCAAGCTGGTTATCCTTGCACATACAGGTTTTGTGATAATTTGTTCAATAGCAGGAGTCATTGGCAGGAAATTCTCATTATTCCTCTGCCTTACTTCCAACATGTGATTCCCCTCCTAGCCTTTGCAAGCTGCAGCTGTAAGTGTATCAGTGGGCAATGGCCAAATTAACACATTTACTTACCTTCAAAGAACAACCTGATTCCTCCTTCACTGAACTTTCCACTCTACTCTCTCAATTGTTTGTGAGTGTTCACACCATCTGTGCTGTGTAAGCAGAGGATCCTGCAAAATAATGAATATTTGATCAGTCACTCAAGGCACAAATAAGATTGCATGGCTTAATTCTGCCATTTCCCAGCTTTAGAAGGCTTTCACAGCACAACTTCAACATACATTTCATGTGTGGTTTTTTTGTATATAGTAAATGCACAGTTCAAATGTGTATCTGACAGGCTATTTTACAAATTTTGCACTGGAATACACTGTTGCTTTGATTTTTGAAAAAAGAAAGACTGGTTCAAGGATTTTTTATTCTTGTCCATTTGGAGATGAACTGGAAAGCACAGATACAATCTGAAGTCTAGGGACATTAAGATCTGCAGTTCTGGATTTTTACCTCATTTTACTTTTTTTTTCCCCCTATTCCTGATCCCTTTTCTCTTTTCTATGGCTTCTGTGAAGGATTTGCTGCTTTTAAGTCACTCTGCACCTATGCCCGTAGAGGCAAAACTCACAAATCTGAAAAGCTACAACCGGATGAGAAGGAGTTCAACACTCTTCATATTTTCCTCCTTCGTCTCTATAATTTGTCATCCAATTCAGCATGTTGGACATGAAGAACTGACTTGTACGTGGGTCTGGAGAGGCCTTGCATCGTGTGCTGTATCCTCCTGAGCTTTGCTGGGCTGGGCTCTGACAGAAATGCACACCCTGAAGTCTGTGCTCAGTCTTCTGTGAGGAGGCAGCCAACTGCTCTGTGCAGCAGCAAAGCTGCCAGCTGGCCATGGAGGGGCGATGGCATCAGCTGCAGCCTATCCCCTCTGCTAGCTCCATGAAATATCTGCTCTGGGAGGATTAGAAACCAGGAGACCGGAGAGCAAACTGCTGCGGGGAAATGGTTTTGGGGGCAGGAGAGGACATTCAGGCAATTGCTCTTTAATGTTTCTCTCTCGATTCCAACTTACCTGCAATGCAAGATTGGGGGTAAGGGGCATAACTGCAAAGGGAAAGTCTGGCTTTCAGGAAATACTATAAACATAACTCACATTAGCGGGGAGATTAAAGCATTAGATTTGATTCACACTCCAGGCAAAATGAAATCTCAGCCTCTGCTTTTTGTATTGCACACAGTGGTTATGGAGCTCGGCATCCTGAACGGGGCACAGAGCGAGGGGAGTCTTTACTCCCTGATTTCTTTGGCTTGCCTGCTCTAGTACAAGTGTCTCTCAGCATGAAATACATGCTGCTGATTAGCAACTTCTATGCTTATTACAGGAGAACAAGATTGTCACCTGTGGCTCCACCTTTCCCCTTCTCCCACTCCCTTTGCTGGATGTTTCCTCAAAAAATCCCTCATGGGAATCTCCTTTCTCTGCAAGGCACTGCAGAGAGATGAGAGTCCCTTAACTTGGTAAAAACCTTCTATATGACTCCTCTTTCAGTTGAACACAGACTCTTGTGTGTCAAATGAGACTATAGCAGACATGGGTGTTATATTTCTGATGGGTCGATGTGAGAATGATGTGAGAAGAGATGAATTTCGAAAGTACTTTTTTATTTCAAGGCAGGATCAGGTCTGTTTCAAAGGTATCCAAGATTTCTGGTGTGAATGCCAATTTCCAAAACTGACATATATTACAATGTTTCCATGGAAAAGTTAATTTACTATAGTCTCAGTATGGGCAGGTAAGTATAGAGGAAGCAAGATCTTTTTGTTTCAAAGTGAATTTTGGGGATCTTCAAGCAAACGGGCACAGGGAAAATGACATTATTCAGGCAACTTTAACTAGACTTTTTCAACTTCTCCTTTCTTTTCCTCAAGTATTCTGTGAACTGCTATTTCCTAGTTTATCTAGGCATATATAGTCAGTTTTTGTAGTTTAGCCCTATTTGCTGTGCCAACTTTTTACTGCTTTTTACTGTTGAACATCTTCCAGTTTCTCATTATTTATTCTGAAACAAGATGTTCAGAACTGAACACGGCATTAGAAGTACAGCTTCTTGCAAGCAAGAAACAACTAACTATCTCTCAGGGTGCATCACAGTGCTCTTGTGCAGCAAACAGATTTCACCAGTCCTCTTCTGCCTACCTATTCCTTGCAGAATCATATGCCAGGCAGTAGGTGCCTATTGTACCTAAGTCTCTTCAAATATCTCTTGTTTCCCCAGCTCCTTCCTATCACAGAACAGGGATGGTTCAGATTGTTAATCTGCAAGTATGCCAGCTGGTATTTTTCCAGGCTTAACAGGTATTTTGACATTCTTAAGTATGCTTGGAGACCTTGGATTACTCACATTGCTGTTAATGTCAAATAGTCCAACACTCTGTTAATGACTATGGGAGATGAAGCCTACCCATTTAAGCTCCCAGCTCTGTGTGTTTCGAGGAAACAAGCTACGGGAGGAGTTGTGCAGGAGATCCACCTCCTTGTGAGGCTGGTGGGCCCTCCACCTCGTTGATGCTTTTAGCTGTTTGAAGGTGTTTTCTTTCCCTGGCAGGTCCATGGGAAGTGCATGTGCAGGCACAACACAGCGGGGGATCACTGTGAGAAGTGTGCACCGCTATATAACGATCAGCCCTGGAAACCAGGGGATGGAAAAACAGGGGCACCGAATGAATGCAGAAGTAAGTAGGAGGGAGTTTGCTAAGCCAGGATTTTGGGGTGGGCGATTGCCACTCAAACAGGTGAAGCTCCACAACAGACTTCAGTCGATTGACGTTGAAGGAGCCCTTACAGCAGATTGCTGACTGCGAGTTGTTCTCGCAGGCACTTTGTTTTACTACAGCTGATCCATCTGGGTTCTTTGGAAGCAGAATCCACAAAGCAGAAATCTGGTCTTCACAGTTCTATCTCCTTGGGCATTTTAGTTTTCTAGAGTTTTACATGGGGCCTAAGATACCACCAAGTTATCTCAAGATCAGAATACCTTACAGTTCACAACCATTCAAGCTTCCCAGTCCTTGCTAGAATAAACTCTATAGTGAAAAACTTCCAGTTTTAACAAAAAATCAAGGATTGTAGGTAAATACATTACACTCGAATAAATTTCCATGAATCTTAGTAGGAACATAACATCATTTAAATAGTATTGCTGGGCCTGTTTTATAAACCTGAGCTGTGTTTTCCTGGTTCCCAAAGAATGTCGCTGCCACAACCATGCTGAGAGCTGCCACTTCGACCTGAGTGTGTGGCTGGCATCAGGCAAGCGCAGCGGTGGCGTCTGCGACAGCTGCAAGCACAACACCGAGGGACATCGGTGCCAAAGGTGCAAACCGGGCTACTACCGAGATAGGAGTAAACCCCTGTCTTCTGCAGAGGTCTGCAAACGTAAGTGATTGCTCTCACATGCAGAGTAAAGGGGAAGGCATGAAGGAAGCCTGTGAGGAGAGTCAACTGCTGTAGAAGTAACACATGAGTATTAATATTGTTTCTTCCTATTTTGCTTCTAGACTACAGTTTTCTGCTCAAGGGTCTTTTTTTCTGATTTTGTGTTTATTCTTCCATCTGTGGAATCATGGAATTGTGTTTTAACTGCTATGGTTCTCCAAAACCAATATATTCTGTGAAAAGGATTTGTATATTCTTTGATATATATATATATATATATATATCTAGGATATATATATATCTGTGAAAATACCAGAGGATTATTTCTTAATCTCATAGTGCCTGAAAGATCCTGTGTGTGAACTCCGGTATTTGACAGCATGATGATGGTGTAGTAACCAAAATCATTTGTAACACTAGATGCACAGAAAGTCAAGGAGCACTAGAGGAGCAGGGGGAAAAGAAGTTTAAAAATACAGCCTATTTGTGTGGAAACCCTAGACCATCTGGCAAGCGAAATCAGACCTTGATTCTACTTCTGCCTCTTTTGTAGAGTCTGGTTACCAGCTTCTCAGTGCATCTTGCCAATAGTCTGCATAGCAAAAGAAAAATGGTTCAAAGGGGATACAGAGGGATAAGCAGAAATTTACCTTGTTCCAAGAGTTCTATTCCTATCGTGCCAGTGTTAGACACAATAATGTCCTTTTTACCTGGGAACGCAGTACTGCCAGCAGAAGGCTCCCAAGTGCAATTATTCCTATTCTGACTTGCACACTCAGACCTGGATTGCAGCACCTCACTTGAGCTTCCCTGTGCAGTCAGTGGAGAGAGTGGGACCTATAGGGAATTCATCACAGCCTAACATAGATGCCTGAAAACTGAGCTTCCTTGTCCTCTAGAGGTATCTACTTATATACTGAACTGTTTTGGATTGGTAGCCTATACTGAAGAGCTTACAATGGTTGAGATGAATATAGACCTAGCAGGTTGGTTTCTGCATTATTGCCAATACATAAGTGTGATCCATATGTGTGCCTGATTCTTACATCACTTTTAAACTTAGTTTGGTCTAAGCAAATTGCCTGGGTTGTGTAACTCTAAAGGTAACTCTGCTAATTCAGTTAAAGCCTTAATTTTAAGAACAGAGTACATATAAAATGTAAGTCAGACCAACCAGGTATACTTTGCTCATATCTTAGCCTACTGATCACAAGTTGAAGGGTTGTCAATTCTGTATCAACTCTGTTTGCAACTCCGTAAGAATCTAAAGGTACCAATTCCAAGGCATCTCACATTGAGGAAAATCAGGTAAATAGTACCAGTCTAGCAACACGAAAGAACAACAACAAAAACTCTGAGCAAGCTCTAAAAAGAATAACTGGAAACAGTAGGCCAGCATGTGTGTTGGTGAGAGCAACCTGACCCTTAGCCTCTTGTTTTGAAGTTGGAAAGGAAAAAACAAACTTGATGGCAGATCAAAACTTGACCTACGTGTACAGTAGATACTGAGCAGGGAAAGGAAATCTGATGAAAGAGCTCAATGAAATGCTGTGCTTATCCCTTTGAGAAAGCACACGCTTGAGGAGTGCTCTGCCATCCAGAGCAAAGTCTAGGTTCAGCTGTGACATTGCCCTCGGGCTCCCAGAAAGTTAACTGGACTCGGGAGGAATCTTCAAGCATTAATCGTTATGAGCACCTTGTCTCTTAATCACGGCTAGGAGAAAAGAGTTGTATAAGTGTTGGATATTCTGGCAGCAGCAAAACCACCTTTTGCTGACCCTCCAATGAGAACCTGCAAAGACATTCTCTTGGGGAAAAAAAAGTTGTTAAAATTTGACATGTAAGTGTGAATTTGCTATTTCGTTTCTTCTGCAGAGATAGGCTGCCTCTGATCCCATTGATTCCCCTGCTCCTAGCAGCTGGGGATGAATGAGAGCCAGGTCATGTGCAGGGTCTTGTTTTGACACTGCTTAGATTAAAAAAAGGAATGAAAAGAGCCCTAGAGCAAGGCATACACCTGCCTGTTACTGGAGATGACAACACAGGATTAAATAGTTTGGATATAGAGTTAGATGGGAGCTTTGACTCAGCCTAATCGTTTCCTAACCAATGGTGAGAAAAGCTGCTGTATCCTTAGCTCCTTCCTGTGGCTTATTTGGAGGCTTAAAGGATCCTTCTGAACTGGTATCATCTTTTGTACTCTCCCTTTGCTTAGCTTAAAAAATACTCAGGCATGTAGAACGATTAAAAGGGTCTCCAGGAAAACAAGCTTTTCTATTCTGAAGCACAAGAGCTGAAAATCAGAATGTGTCCAGATGCACGTGTGCACACTCTGAAAAACTCCACTTCTCTCCTTTGACTTCTGAGCGGAGGGAGTGAGTTTTTTATTGCAGTATCACAAAGGCGTGATCACCTCCTGGTTCAGAGACTATGTCTTAGTTGGCACTGACCACCCACACAGCTGTCTATCTTATTTCCTTCATTTAGGAGTCATCATTGGCTGGGTCAACCCCTGCACTTGGCATGCTTCAAAAATTGTCCTGATTCAGTCATATATTCCTTATATACGTGCATCTATATCTGTAGATAGATTTCAAATTCAAAAGAATCCTTTTTAAATTTTTTCCTGCTTTTCATTCAAATACCCGGAGTCTTCTCACAGCTGTATCTTCCATGGTGTTACTAGACAGAATTTTGAAGGCAAATGCCTTTAAGTCCATTTATTTGGAATACTTGCTATTTTCCTACAAGTCTGGACCATATTGTTATGACCAACATTATATAGGGAAGACAGCTGTGCTGAGGGCAGACAGATTTACTGAGGACTGGAGTGGAGACTCCTACATGAATAGTTCATTTTTTAAATTTGTATTCTCCCTTTTTCAAAGTAGCTTCCAACAAATACTTAGGAGCCATCAGCCAAGAGGATGCTTTCTGATACTCCATGACCAATAGCTACTTCTAATGGACAGTGATAAAGTTCTTTGTTACGCTCCTTTCAAGGGGGGAGCCCAAATAAACCAGGCACCTCTGAGCCAGAACTGTCTGCACACCGTCCCTAACAGAATTGGTGATGCCTTTGACAAACAAGGCCATTGTCACATTGGCTGCTGTTTTGTTAGACACAGAGGCGCATGGGTAGAAGAGGAGGGTTTGCCAAGAGGGAAGAAGCAAAAATCAGCAGGGAGGTATGCTGTGTTGTCAAACACGCAGCAATGGAGAAGGGTGTTTGGAGAAAGCTGCTTTTCTCCTCTTTTAATTGTGGGATTTATCAGCAAACTTCTGATACTGTTAAACAGGTCAAACCCAGTCATCACCAGCTGCCCCTTCAACGTGTAACACTTGAGTTCTTAGTGTAGAAGTGAATGTAGATGCACAACTGGGATTTTGGCCTTACCACCCTGGAAGCCAGACAATATACACACCCGAGCCGAAATGCTAAATAAGCACAGACTAAGGCATTTGCAGGCACTTGGATAACTCATCTGAAAGTGTTGTGTATTTATTGATTCAGCTTTCAGTTCTGACTCACTGGAAGTTGCTCTGGTTTAATTAGGGAATATAGCTCAATTCCTTTAGGAATGGGAGTTTTTCTGAATTGCCCTGTGTTTTAAACTCTTATCAGTATCTGTCAGTTCTGTAAATCATCGTCCTGTCCCTCCAACCCTCAGCGAACGCTTGGTTAAGGACCAACATCGTGAATTGGGGCCTAGCCTCAGTTGGTGATGGGTAGGCTGATGGTGTTCCTGCTGTTATCTGACCCTAACTCACTCGAAAGTGGAAATAACATGGGAATAAAGACATTTCCAAAGGTTCAGAACTAGGAGAAACTTCAGGTAAAACTGCCACAGGTACATCCTAATTATGGAGATACTAGAGGGAAAGGGAAACGCAACCTGGATGTTGGCATCTTCTGACTTCTTGTCTGACCTTGTCAGACCTTTACCTGAGGTAAAGGAAGTAAGTGCTTCCTCACCCTGAAATCCATGATAGCCATTTCTTCAGTGGCAGACCCAACTAAGTGTTTTTCTTCTGCAATAATGTGGGCAGCCCTTTGAAAAACTGAACAAATTGAAGCTGAGCAGCAGTAAATCAGAAGTTGCCTTAGGACAATATCAGCACTAATGTGCACTCCATCATCACGCCACCTCTCCAGAAGCGACAGCAAAATCCCTGGGTTTGCTCCCGAAGTCAAGACTACTTTGTAGCAAACAGGCAAGCCTGCTGCCATCCACCAAGCAGCTCATTGTGCTGAGTACATCGCCCATGACACCACGTGTATTTTCTGTCCTTGGGCTGTTGTGCTAGTGTCCCTTGGAAAGAACTTACTGAGATCTGTCTACAGTAGAGTGTAATAATATTATGAAAAATATTGGCATGAAGAACACAGGGCATGGTGGAAAAAAAACACTATGTAGTAGCAGATCACAAGACAAATACCCATGAAGCAAAACCCTTTGTTATTTCCAAAATATATTTTCCTTTCTTGAGGGCCAAATATAAGAACGTCAAAGAAAGTGAATCTGTCCTCACTACACATTACCATTCATTGAAGTCTATACCTACTCCTTTCTCTGTGGAAAATAATGTGTTCTTTTGGTCTCTTATTTGTAAGCTCAGAAAGTAGTTTGATTAGATGCAGTGATGGGCAAACTTCAAAAGCTTTGGAGATTGTGCTTTGTTCAGATAAGCATCCAAAAAGCTGGCCCCTGATTCAACTTATCCAAACACCTTGGGTGTCCAACATTTGACTGTAAATCTCTGCTAAAGCAGGTCTTAGCCAACAGATTTTTTTTCTCCTCTCTCCCAAATGCATCAAGTAGGTCTTTTCTAGGCACAAGGAAAGCAGAAAATGCATGTTGTGTTCACAGAAAAGTTAACACGTGTAATGGTTATTATTTGGGACCCCAGTTGACAAAAAATAATCCTTTTTTTTTCACCTGCAAGCTGTTTGAAAAGTGACTCCACAACACAGGCCTCCTGCCACTGCTGCCCAACTCTCTATATTCTGGATATGTGTAGTTCAGAAAACTGTTTGCTCTTTGTTTCTTTATTTCCAAAAGATGTTTCCTGGAGGATGAAATGTGAGGATGCAGAAGAAAGTGGTTTTCATATGTAAAGAGGTCCCAGCTGGGTTTGTTTCGTTGTGCTAAGTGAGTCAGAAACACAAGAACGTTGCAAATGTAGCTGAGGATACAACGGTTAGCAGTTCCGCTCTGCAACAAGAAAGGGGCTAGGAGTTTATCAGCCTTGCAAAAAATGTCACTTAAGATGACCCATGATCTGGGCACATAATCTTAGTCACCTCTTACCGTATCTCCATAGCTTGCTCCTGCCAGCCAATGGGTTCAGCCAACGCCACCTTCAGCAGAAGCTGGCGATGCCACCCCAAGACGGGATTCTGCTACTGCAAGCCTGGCGTGGCGGGCCCCCATTGCGACAGATGTCTCATGGGCTACTGGGGCTTTGGAGAAAATGGCTGTCGTCCTTGTGACTGTGCCAGAGACTGCGACCAGCACACTGGAAACTGTTTCAATGGGTAAAGAAGCCCTCACTTGGGTGAATTTTGAGATGGGGTTCTGTGAAATGAAGGAAAGATTAACTGAGATAGCAGCACTGTAGGGTCTGGTGGGAGCCAAGGGAACCACAAACATTTGAAAAGGATGCTCTAAGTCACATAAAATGTCTCTTAGTTGCTATTTGATGGCTGGCACACTTATAAAGCCCTTTATGGTCCAAGGCAATATTGAAATGTCTTTTGAGGTAAGAATAGGCAACTCCACAGCCCCCCAGAAGTCTATGCAGCATCTTTAAATTCATCTCTCTGCCTTGGCAATAGATGGAGGAGTCTGGAAAGCTTGCCTCTCCTGTGTGTCTGAGATGAAATGAGTTGCAAGGTCTCCCTTTTGTTTCTAGCTGGCAGGCAACTGTACCCCAAACATCATTGATCTCAGTACAGAAATCCTGCGATTTGCTGAGTGGCTGCTAGTTTCACTGGCCCTGCAGATGTCATCAGTTCCTACTTAGATCAGCAGGTGATCACTGAGTTGATTCAGTAAATAACAAATAAAATAACAACAAAAAAAAAAAGCATAGAAATTACATAGTAATTCAATACAATGTGAAGCGTGCGTGATTTCTGTTTGGGCATGACATTTTCCCAGCCCAAAGAGAAAAGGCTCACTTGTCTGGATACTGAATGCTACACGCACATGCCACAAACGCCTCTTCCTACCACTCTCACATCCTGAGTCTTCTCTTTTTTGTCCACCCTACAGCTATGACAACGAACCATTCTTTAACATCCCCATTGGAGGACGAATCCCTGACCTTGTGCAAATGCCCACTAATGAGAGCGAAGACGAGTGGAAATGGAATGACCATGAGCAGGGATTTTCGGCTCTGAGACACCCAGGTACATCTTGGAGTCTAGAAATATTTGGTAACTTCACTGAATAGCAGCTCTTCTCTTCATCATGACTTAAATTCCTCCACTTCTCTCTAGCTCCAGTCCATCCCCAAGCCCCATAACAGTAATCATTACAGCAACAGTGTTACTCACCAAATCAGGTTGTACTTTTACTGGATATCAATGAATCATAACTAAGATTGGTATGAACAATTCTTCATATTCCAAAAATGTGTGATCATAATATTTTTGCATCTACACAGCTGTTTTCTAATCATTCACTTGCTGCTCAGAACTTCAAATGCTGTTTGTAGAAAGATCACATTGAAATACATCATTGAAATGCCTCCCTCTGGAGTGGGAGGCAAGTGTTATTGAGAACAAGGTATTCATAATGGCACGAGAGCTCAAGCTTTTACTATTTATCATATTTGCAGTTTTACTTGTCATGGACAGGATAGTGCTTTCCAGTGTTAATGACTTTGTAAGACCCTGGGGAATTGTACCACCTACTGTATACCTTGAATTTAAGGAAGTCAAGAGAGATAGTACCTTAATGTTGGTACAGAGCAGCACATCTGAACTGATGGAATGGCACAAGGGTGTTGCTTGTGATGGACATCTGGATCTGATTCTGACAAATCTCTGTATTGCTATCAGTTTATTAACTATATAATAGACCCCATGACCTCTATGTTTTACTAGATAACATCGATCAGATTTCAGAACCATTACTTTATCATCTAACAAGAAACAGATTATCAAATCACTGAGCTCACTCTGAAACCTGCTCTTTCTGTCTATCCAGATTATGGGAATTACATAAATACAACTTTATAACTGAATATAATTTGCTTTCCTCTTTCATGTCCTGGCTGTTCTCCAACCCTTTGTGTTCTGCGGTTGCCCTGCTAGAAAAGTGTGTGTGCAAAGAGAGGGTGCTTGGAAGTGTCACTGATTTCTGCCAAATGAAATACGCCTACGGTAAGTGGGTGACATGCCCTCAAGGTATGATAACTTTACAGTGTATCTATCCAAGATATCAGCTGATAGCTGTGAAAAAGGCTAGGTTAAATCATGAAATAAGAGGTGGGATTTCTCCTGGCTTTTCTCTTTAGTAGTATGTCCTACTTGCATACAGTGAAAAGCCTTTTTCGTACTCCTTGGTGCCTAGGAGTATCTGCCCCAGTGTCTGTGCTCCACACAGCAGCAGTGCCAGAATTATAACCTAGTGGAATGGTTGGCCTCCAGGTTGAGCATCTGTGATAAAAGCCTTGTGGCCAGATTGCTACTGGTTTTGCAGTCATTATGCAGGTACCAACAGCCAGACTTACTTATCAAGAATGCTTTTTGTATCGTGTAGTGTAAACAAGGCGTCCGTGCCACCCAAAACAAAACCAGGAGCTTCACAGGTTGGATGTCCTTGTGGCATGACACAATAAACCCTGTGTGTGGGGTCAATCTGTGGGTAAGACGATCCTGCCAAAAAATTAGGGATTCCTCTTCAATTGAAAGACCAGGGGTTTATTATGGCCACCAGATGTTAGGCCACAAGGTTGCTCTGGTTTGCTGCGCAGTCCTGGGATCTGAGCCGCGTGATGTGCTGCAATCTGAGAGGCACCTTCCTGACCTCCTTCCTTCCTGACAGTCCCTTCCCACACGATAGTTTTCAAAGACAAGTGTTAAAGCTAACTAACTTCAATGGAAATTTTCAAGGCGTCAAATAAAAGGGCTAGAATCAATGCACTGAAGATCAGACTGTTTGCAGCCCACCAGCTCCTTACAATCTTCCTAGTTAAACACAAGTTCCAAGTGTTTGACCACAACTCATTAAAAAAAAAAAAAAAAAAAAAAAAAAAGAGTTGATTAATAAATTGCTATGCTGGAAGGATCAGTTAACTTCTTTGAAAGGAAAACCCAGTTTTTCTTCTCCCAATTTAGTTTAAATGATCCATGATTGAAGTGGGCAAGCATTGCAACTGTTTTCCTGTGCAACTGTAGTGATTTTTTTATGTTTTCTCCCAAGGCTGTAAATTCTTGAGGTTCTCAACTGCTAACTTTTAGCAGCATGAAGAGAAAATAAAAAAACCACCACTATCTTGCTTAGAAATTCATTGCTGGTGTCTATCTTTACATGTGTTTTCTGGCAGTGATAAAAGCAAGAATCCTATCAGCTCATGACAAAGGGACCCATGCAGAAGTTGTTGTCAAAGTGAAGAAGGTCCTGAAATCGGGCAAAGTAAAAATTGCTCGGAGCAACAGAAGCATTTTCCCAGAATCCTGGACCAACAGGGGATGCACCTGTCCCATTCTCAATCCTGGTAAGGATGAAATGTTCACAGCACTAATTCTTTGAGGTTTGGCTCCGGCTGCAGTGCTGCTCGTCAGTCTCATCCTCTAAGTTGTTTAATTATGGGGATCTACTTCTGGTGCTGGAAGCGGAGCAGGGGGTTGCAGAAAGCAGCAGTCTGCCCCCCTGACTCTGCTGTGGGCAAAAGGGCAGGTCTGAGAACAGCTGAGCAGATGCAGCTGCTGGTTCAGCCTCTCCTATTGCTGCCTTTCCTGGGGGAAAAAGTGGATCCCCACTTTTTGTCTCTCCTGGATTTTACCCTTGCCCTTTCCCTCCCTGCTGCATGTGCATTAGCTGTTGCTTCTTGCATGTTTCTTTCGGGAAGGAGGGCAGCAGCAGCAGGTGGGGAGGAAAGGATGAGCAGCAGCAGCCATAAATGTCAGTCCAAACAGCCCCCGAGGGCAGCAGGGCTCTGCTGCACAGGACAAGCTGGCACCTTGCACTGCTCTGCCCTGCACTGGGCTGGACTTTCTTCCCTGGCTTGTGACACAAACTCCAGTTTAATCTCACAGCCTTTAAAGTTAATCAAAAAGCTGTACTAGTGCAGCTGAGAATTTGAATTTGCTGTATAGTTGAAGAAAAAATGCAAAAAACCTCCCTGTTTTTGTATTGTCAGCCAGAATAAACTACCAAGCTGCCTCCCATGCAGCTGAACTGCTATGAAAGGTCCTAAACATGAGGGGAGAGTGTGGATTGCCATTGCAGAAGGGTACAGAGGTGTCACCATGAGCAGCCGTGGCACCGAGCTGCGTGGGGCACGTGTTTATCTGGCCCTTCAGGCTGCTCACCAGCCCACTGCTCCGCAGCCTCTGCTCAGGCGCTTCAATAATTGTGTTTATTTTGTTCCTCCTCAGAACACAGGGGCTGACAATGTGGTCTTTCTGCTGCCGTGAGGTTCAGCACTGAGAGGGCGAGATCTGTAACATATTTCTCCCCTTGTCTCTACTCCAAAAGTTTCATTCCACAGATTGAACCCAAAGAATTGCTCTTTAGAAGTTAACTGGGTGGATATAAAAAGGCTGCCTGCCTTTCATCAGGATGGACGTGCAAACTTCAGTGAAGGTCAAATGAACAGGAATGCACACAAGAGAAATCTACGTGCAACAGTAAAAACAGAACAAGCAAAATCTTACAATAATAAGCAAAATTAAACAGAAAGCAGTGAAAGAGCTGACATCCAAGAACAGAGACACAAATTCACCTCTTCTGTCTATACAACTTTAAAGTATTCTTCCTCTCTAAACATGAGAATAAAAGGTCACAAACTGCCACTCAAAAATCCAGTAGCACATACTGCGTTTGTTCCATCTGGTGTCTTCAAAACCAGAAAATACACATGTGGAACCTGCCTTCCACCTATCTATTAAGATAACTGTAAGAAACTAAAATACGTATTTTAACTTGCCAACTTCTCTAAATCCTGGTTACTGAAGGAGTTTTACTCACTGCAGTAGATGCAACACAAAATCATTCTCTCTCTGCTGAGGAAGGACACTATCTTCAGTGACAGTTGTCTCTGGTCCCCAAGTGCAGCCACACACTTCTTGGTTTGCAGACCTCTCCTTGAGGTGCCGCTACCTGTGCCTCAAGGTTATGATTTAGGCTAACCATTTCAATGCAATTTCAAATGCAATACTAGCTTCCACATTTGTTCAGATCAAATTCTGCCATTCATCCTATCTATGTAAGTGAGCATTAATGCTACTCAAGCCCAGAGAGTTGCACTAAGTTATAAAAAGATGCAGGGAAGAGGGCAGGGAGGTCAGAATGAAATCCAGTCACCTGCACAGGGAGACACTGGATTTGCAATCACTAATCCCCCAGAACTAAACCTATTTGGGCACTTGTGATTTCTGCACATCCCCATGTGAAAACACCTGAACTTTTGTGCCCAGCAGTCAGCACTGAGAAGGGGCACATGAAGGTAAACACAGAGAAACCCCTCTGTGCATAAACTGGAGATGAAAAACTTGACCAGACCAGTTAAATACATCTTGCAATGGAGAAATTGTTTTATGCAATTTCCCACTGCTTTATGCAATGGAGAAATTTAGCATTTAATTCTGTTTTCTTCTTTTTTTTTCTTCTTTTTTTTTTCTCCTAAACTAGGTACTGATTATCTTATAGCAGGCCAGGAGGACTCTAGGACCAGCAAACTCCTTGTGAATATGAACAGTTTGGTGAAACCCTGGAAAGCACATTTGGGAAAACAAGTCGCAGACATTCTTCGAACGGGATGCAAGTAATTTCTGCTTCAGAAGTTAAAAGCGACGAACTTTTCCTTTCAATAGCGCTGCAGTGAGAGGTGTAGTTAGTTCCTTCATTCCTACTCAACAAGCTCCTAGCCGAAGCAATGAAAGCAGATTTGCCATCCTTTCTCCTTTCATGTGCCTAGACAGCAAACCCGAGACAAAATTACTTTTAATCAGAAAAAGCAAACACATACTCTTATGCAAAATTACTTGTTGCATCATACATAGGTTGTAAGTCAGTTCTTAATGTGAGCCTGATTCCACCACACCCAGAGAATCATTTTGCAGGGCAAAACTGAAGATACAGACTAATGTTTCAACACTTCAGGCAAAAGCCTGATATTAACACATAGGGGCTGCTTACCTAGTGCAATCACTACTCGGGTGTAATTTTCTTTAAGTCACCACTAACCAGCAGCAATTTGTCAGCTTTACAGGTGCCATAATACTAAACAAGCATGAAGTTATTTAAAAGAGCTCAGATATTTTTATTTACCATCAAACTGCGATTAGACCAATAGCTCCTTGCTTTCTAGAGGGCAAAACTAGCACTTTGCTACACAGAGACTAGCACGGGACTTAGTTCTGCTCAATCCTCTACGGATGTACATGGCTATTATAATTGTCAGTGCTGAGCTCTGCTGGCTCAGTGGCTCAATTTTGGTTTCAAACCCCACTCTTGCTCTCAAAGATGGTTTTGCTTTTTGCTGCAGTCCTTCAGTCTGTAACACTATGAAAGGTTTCATAGCAATTACCACCAAAAAGCCTCATGCTAGGATAGAAGCACCAAGACACAAGACATGAAGAACTAGAGCTGCTCTAAAGTTGAGGTTAGGATACTACCAAGCCAAGAGAAAGAGGTGACAAAGGGAGTGGTTGGACTGTGCATTAAAAGAGGTAACTACAGGGACCTGGGAGCCACTTGGCTACCCAACTGTGCTCGAGACCCCTGGCATTTGATTGCCCTTGGCACTTCAATTCAGCTTTACTGCTCTCAGCCACACCTGTGAGTTAAAATACTGAAGCTGGGCTGTCTTCTTCTGTTGCTCCAACATTTTTTTCCAGAGAGGTCTAAGGGTGGTAACATGTGCAGCCAAGGTAAAGCACTTCTGCTCTCAAAAGCATTCCTCCCAAACTCACTTAGCCTAGTCTGCAGTAATTAAGAGGTAGCTAAGGAAACGAAAACTTCCTCAAAACACTCTCTTAGGGAATGATTTAAGACTTCTGCTCCTCTGACAGGAACCATGATCAAGCGAAGCTGGGTCGGTTCCTTCATTAAGTAAAGCATAAATTATAAAGAGTTGGTCTATTGTTTTGCAGATTACAGGGGACAAACACACACACATGCTACTTCTGCATGCTTTTTTCATGCTCCTAAAGAAGAAGGGAAGAAATATCTTCCTCTAGCACTCTATGACTGGCATATAGAGTCTGCAGAAAAAGCTAAGCCTAATGCAAAAGCATAGAAATGCCAGGTTATGATGTGAAACTTGGGTAAATCAGTTTGTTCTCTTGATCACTAGGGACCTAAGAGCCTCTTTCAGTCTCTTGGTTACTGTTTTCCTTTTAGCTTAGGGTTGACTGAACAGAGAACAACTAAGGTCATTTGGAAGTGGAAAACAGGCAGGTATTTACACAATAAAAGTTTCACTTTTCTCCCAAGGAACAGTGTTTCTTCCCCCTCTTTTTCAGGAACTCTCCCCCTCCATTGTCATAACATTCCTTATTTCTCTCCATTTGTCTTGAACACACTTTATTATTTATTTGTTGTTACCTAATGCAGTCTCCAACAATGTGGCATCTCCAGCAAGCCATTTAATTAATGCAATAAAACACTTCTTAACCAGGGAATCTGGCTTAATTTGAAATGTCAGCTTATAGAAATTAACAGCATAGCAACTGCTTGCTTTATTGGCTCCAGAAAGTGTTTCACAGCAAAGTGTCAAAGACCACAAAAAATAAAGACGTCGACAGGACTTCCCAGCATGTGCTCAAAGGCAGCTTCAGAAGCAGCAAAAATCAAGCTCAAGTTTAGAACTGAAGAGCCCTTTTCAACACAGCATTTTGTCTGCTAAAGATTTTACTTACCATCATACTCCACTTTGGTTAAATAGTACCCCCATTAAGGGAAACTTGTGTATTCTACCTTATTTTTGTGTGCCAGATGTGATTCTGTGGTGAGCATAAGCACCCATGCTGCTTCTTTCTGCAGATGGACACTGTTTGCTAGCAGGGTCATTCACAAGTATTTCCAGCTACCACTTGTGAAAATAGTACTTTTAACAAGAATTTTAATCCTCAGCGAGTTCTCCTGGGGTCTGTTGCAACACAACTGATTAACGACTACCCCATTGCAAACACCACTATGTGAACACCAGATACCATCCCTGGATCACACACTTGAGCTGTCTCCAGAGTAGGTGACACACACAACAGTTTGAAAGAGAAATGTAAAGCAAGGGGGGAAAAATGGAGGCCCAGGGGAAACGCAGCCAATTTCTTCCCCCTCTCGCACCTCTTTCTGAATCCAGTTTATTTGCTGGTATCTGCAAAGAGAATTCTGCTTCACGCCCTCCATTAGTTAGAAACATTGCACATTTATCTTGTGCAGTGGCTCTGCTTTATAGGGCAGCAGGTATTCCATAAGCATGCAACTTCTTCAAAAAGCCCAAAAGGAAAAACACTTTGAGTGAGCTTCGAGTGAGCCAGTGCTACAAGAGCTGACTTTTTAATTGCTATTACTGCTCTCTGCTTAATCAGGTATCCCTAAGCTCACCACACAAAAAGAACAGAGAAAAGAAAAAACTAATAAAAAACACCCAGAAAGAATGGAGAAAAAGGTCCAACTGGCACAGAATACTACACACAATTTGTTCTGCAGTGCTTTAACCCAGGTAAACCTACCTAAACCTACCTGAAAAGAAGTTTTCAAACAAAAATGCACCACAGAGATTGATTTAGAATAGGTATCAATTCAAGTAAGTTTAATGTGATCACTGCCATGAGACTCAGGAAAGAAAATCAAAGGTATTTGCTTATTTACTGGGGCTTCAAGAGAAGATGAGCAAGCAGTAGTGCAAGATGACATCTATGTTTCTAGCAATAGCATATTCTTCAGAAGAAGTAAGCTCATAAATAATTAGAAAAGCAACCACAAAAGTCACTTCTATCACAAATGAATTGTTTTGTAGGTCTATGTACAGTTCCATGTATCTTGTGAACCTGTGACTGTGTCTCCTAGGTGAAGTAGTACAAAAAACATTAACTTGGCGGGGGGAGAAAAATGGATGGATGCCAAAAATGGATGGACAGCTCTTTTTTAGTACTTCTAAAGCAGTACCTGTCCCTAAAACATCCATGTGAACTACCCTACAACACCCAAATAGATCGGGTACATCAGGGGCAGTAGCAACCACATGCCAAACAGTAGCACTGAACTCCCTGCATGAGGGGGAATTAAAAGTGTTTATTCACAAGAAAAGAAGTCTGCAAACTGCAGAGAATTTCTAAGAGGGCAGGCAACAGCCTGAAGCAGAAGCACATGTAGTTTTCCACAGACAGGAGCACGTACAGGGGTGCTGGGGGCCAAGGTGGCTCTGTGAGAGCTGTGCAGCTGTCTGGCAATGGGGTATCAAGGCAGTTCACTAAGCAGCTGTTGCAAGTGCAGAGGCCAACTCCTGTGCAGTGACATGTAGCTACTAATGCTTCTCCATCCTCTTCACGGCAAGCAACTAGGAGAAAAGAACATGCATCTATGGCCCAATCTCGTGCACTGCTCTTCTGGGGGTAACGCACTACTATATAGAGCAAGTTTTCTGTAGTGTTACCATCTGTCCCCAAATTTTTCCATGCTGCTTGATATAAACCTTCTTTGAATTGATATAATTCAGACCATGTGCTCTCCAAAGCCCCTCAGACCTGGCAAAGTTTGTGTGTTATTTGTTATGTGTTGTAGCACCTTTTCCTTTTTGTACTTAAACTTCAAATTAAAAATACTTAAGAAATTTATGCTGATGTGAGGTTTGGGATTTAATTTTTCACACCATTTAATCCTCAAACCATATGCATATTACTTTTTAAGTTAATAAACCACACATATTCCTGATGTCAGGCTCCTGCTTCGATAGTCTTTGCGCAGAGCCAGGTAAATGGAGAAAAATGATTAGCTAATAAGGCAACCGTGATACATATTATTATATGGAGCAACTTCTACAAATTATTCACTACTTTTTGATAAGAATATATGCATATATTTTACAAGACAATGCACATACTAGAAATGCAAACCAGGTGCAGTTATTTATATAAGCATGTTAAATTAATAACTCATCAAGATTCAAACATCCAAAACCTTACGTAGGTATTGCAGATAGTCATTTCCATACAAAATACATAAAGTTTCAGTGGTTTGAGGTCTAATGAAGCCTAAAATTGCTCCTTGGCATATAGCTATCTTGTGGGATGTAAGGCATGAAAACAGAAACATACGATGAGTAGGCGAGAGATGCCTTAACTACAAATGCTCAGAGCTCGAATAGGTCAGAGTCCATTCATCTTGATCCCCATGGTTTAAGCAAAACAAACTATTATTACAGAGACTTACCTTTGCTGCTCTGCATTATAGTTACCTTTACTCTTGGCACCTCCATGTAAATTCTTACTCAATTTGTAAGCTTGTACGGCAATAACTGTACCTCTAAGGCCTGGTCTTCATTCTTCACACATTATTAGCATGACAGATACTGCGATGAAGCCTTCAACTTGTAGTTTAGTGATGCAAAATATTTTGATGAATCACTTTAAATGTATACACACAAGTCCTGGATCAAAATCACTTTCAGTGACTGTGCCAGCAAGATTAGCTGGATCCAGCCCAGTTCTTTAAATTCTCCATGCTGCAAACAGAAAGAAACATAGGCCAGAGAAGGAAACAAAGACAACACCTGTAAGGAGAAGGGTGAACATCTGCAGGGAAGTGGGATGACAACTATGATAATAGTGTTTGGGAGTGTATGGGAAGGGGAAAGCACAGGAAGCCAAAAAGGAAAGAGGCAACAACACTGGAAACAGCAAGAAAAAGAAAAGTTAGAAATGACTGATGTGGAAATCAATATCCCACTGCTATACAACACTCCATGAAGGGAATAAGGGCATTCCTAGTGGATGCTTTTGTCGTCTTAGGAAGCACAAGGAACTCAGTGCTTTCAGAAACAAACACATCAACAGGGCCGGTCATCGGATCTGGTACAGCAAATCCTATGTCCACTTACCCATCAAATCATTGTTGCAGGATCCGGGTTAATCTGCAATGTGCAATCACTACAAATCTTCCTGCGCTCTTTGTTTTGGCTACGACAGGGCCTTCATGAGCTGTCTGCTCACTGATATATCAAAACTGTCATGGGCTTTTTCTTTTTTTTTGGTACATTTCCTCTTGCTTTAGAGACTACCCCTCCATTCAGGCTCTTGCTACTGACTATAGCTTATACTGAAAACACGGAATTCATGGAAGGGGCAAGGGAGAGGATAAGGGTGAAAAAACGGGAGTGAGAATAAAAAGGCAGAGGCCAAGGACTCCTGAGCAAAGTTAAGTTAACAGCAGAAAGGGTAAAACTGAGGGTTTGTCATTAGGCAGCCACAGCCACACATGTTCGCCGTTGACACCGCGAGGAGAAACTTGTCGCCTCGCATTTATTTTCTTTGAACTGCAAAACGTACAGAAGCACCAGATACTGCGCTCCCCACAGCGAGCAGGACAAAAGCTCCACCATTTAATGATTCCATTTAAATTAACAAACGGTAGAAAATACAGCGGCATTCCAGGCATTTCTGTATGGTGTACAGGCTGCTTTCAGTGGATCTGAACACACGAAAAGGCTCTTCCAACTTGAACCACTGGATGAATGCACAAGATACTCTAATCACAAGCCCTTCTGCTTCTGGCAGCGACGGGTGCAAAACCCAGGGCAAGCTTTTACTAATGCTATTAACATTTTAATAGCAGCAGTCAGAACTTCTCAGAGTGTCTTAGTAAAAACAGCTCTGCATCATAGTTACTGATATGTCACCACTTTAACATTTGTCTTGACTGAAGAGTCTTTGAACTATTTATTGATAGTATCAAGATACAATAACATTTGAGAGAAAGATGATCTTTTTTCCTTCCTTCCATGCTCAGCTCAACACCCACAAACCTGAATTCGAGCTGATTCACCACCAAATTACCAAGTCAGATGTTTTCAGTAGTGTACCACTGTTATATGCTAGGTAGCTTCTTGAGTTAGCAGGAGAAAATAACATCGGGCTTTCATATATTGTATCTGTTCTTCCTACAATTGGGAAGACTTTTTCCCTTAGTTTCTTTTCAGTATTACTAGCAAAATTTTAGTTCTGAGGGAATTAAAAGCAATTAAAACATGGCTGCAGGCAAGCTGGTCTGATCTGCAAAATAAAGTCACCTCCAGGGAACAGAGATGATCTAGAATGAATGGCAACTGATGGTATCTTATCTACACTGGTACCTCAGTCCTACACCGTGACTGCTAGAATTTCAATAAATAAAAGGAAATTAAGAATCCAAGAAGCATGAAGTATTTTTTTCCCCTCCTTAGGAATAAGAAAATAGGTCTTATTTATTTAGATAGCTTTCCTCTCTAAGAGTTGTTAACGTATGATCAGATGAGGTACCTTAGATGAACAGGTTATATCACTGTAGGGTTTAACAACAACCTTCTCAGAACTGCACAGGTTATAGCCCCTGTTTCCAACTTAGCTAACAATCCTATCCAGCTTTAAGAACTAGGATTTGTTCCACCATTGCATTTACTTCAGAATTACAGTGTGCAATAACCAAGGAGACTGTATGAACTGGTAAACTAAAGTACTAAATATATTGTGACAGACACTATTTTAGCATTGATGATAAAAAGCTGTGAGATGAATTCAATTAAAAATCGCCTTCCCTCCCTCAAAAAATGAAATAGATAAAATCCAACTAAAATTATATTTGCACCTAATCATTTGAGCCAAGTACTCCATATTAAAAACACATTTTGTTATTCCTAGAAGTGCTGCATGCCTTTTAACACTTTCTTCCAGCTAATTTTTAATAAATGAATATGGATACTCAGCAATTTAGTTTATATCTGTCTTACAAAATCTAAAAGGCCCAAGCTTAAAGATCAATTATTTCAGACGTTTTCTTCTTCCTATGTATGATTGCTTTTGCCCATATAAAAGCACCTGATGAAAAATATGCATAAAAGCACTGAAAAACAACACCATGCAGACAGTTCCTCAAAACCATTTGAGCCTGCTACTTCCCCCAAAGATTCAGTAGCTCACTGCTGGCAGACAGAGCCAGGAGAGTATTTACGAAGCAAATAATAAACACATTAGAAAAACACAGCAATATGCCTCTAAGTTTTGTATCCAGATGCCAAAAAAGGCAACTTCTTCTTATCTGCTATTCCACAGGCTTGCCACTTGCTGTCAGGGAGTATTTTATCATCTTTATCACCTACTAAAGCAACCGCTGATTGATTTTTAGTTTAAAATGGGAGTTTACAGGAACAAAAGCAAAAAACACATCACCAAAGCAACGCTAGGAAACATAACACAAGGAAAAAAAACACATCACCAAAGCAAATCGGGGAAACATAACACCTTATCCGTACACAGACAACTGCATGAGTTTACAAGGCAAAACAAATCCAAGGTAATGTATTTTCTGCTTTCATGTGGATTTCAAAAAGTCTACTACTAGAGATGGAAATTTCCACATAAATACTTCCAAAGAAGGCACAAGAGTCAAGAGAGACAACCTGACCCTAAAATTGTAGTTAAATTCAGCTGCAGATTCCAGAGCCCACACTGGATTGTGTCTCTAGTCAATTTGGCAAAACAGAAATACAAATTTATAATTGATCTTCCTTCTAATGCCTGATATTTCATGCAAGTGCAAATAAACTACCTATCAACTTAAATTTGAGAAATAAGTTTGTTTGGGTTTGTCTCCATTAATATAGCAAAATCCTAATTCTCTAGCAGGAAAGATACCCTGAAAACTAAACATAGACGCAACTCCACATCACAGTCCTTATTACTACTTAAAATTTTTTAACAGTAAAACTCAGATTAAAAAAAAAAAAAGCTGACATTGAAAGCAAGAGCAGAAGCAAGAGGCGAGAAAAAAAAAAAAAAGAGAGAAAATGAATGAAGCTTGATTGCTTTAGTCCAACATACATCACTTCCACTTCTAAGGACTTTCCCAGAATGCAAACGCAGTCAAAGGCTGATAATTATTTTCCTTTCTAATCTGAAAATCAGAAAGAAACTTACAAATGATCCATGATGAGTAAGGAGTAGTAAATAATAAATGGCAACTTTCACAAACATCTCTTTAGACCTATGACTTCCTTTCTCAAAACATCTGAAATGCATCAAGAAGTGGTTCTCATGGTGTTATTTTCAGTGTAAGGTCCCTTGCACGCATCCCATTTTTGTGCAAGATCTAGCACAAGAGCTTACCAAACCACAGTAGATCCTGACAGAAGCAACCCTACTCTAAACAAACTTTCAAGTATGTTAGATATATGCTGGAGCTTCCCTCCATAAGCCAAGGTTCAGGTTCCTTGCTACCCTATGACTAGAACTCTTGCACTTTACATTCAGTGCACAGGTGCTCCAAACTGCTAGAGGAACTGCTAAATCCAAAACCTGCAAAGCATCAAGGCAGCGTGGGAAAGAAGAGTGCAGCAGACAAGAATAGGAGGCAAACAGTTCTCAGAACAGAGCACTCCTTCACGGACTGTTCTTGCTTTCTTACAAATAACACATTGGATTTCCATTTGAAAAACCAAAAGCTCAGGTGCATGTGATTTTTTTTTTTTAATTTGATGCCCAGTGTTTATCTGATTGCCTAAGATTTCATTTTCATGGTCCAATTGCTTAAGCGCCAAGATTTATCACTGCTGCTTTTGTGCCCCTTTACTCGAGTTAACTTGGCATTTGTCTTCTTGTGCGTGAAAGTGTCACCCTGAGAAGCTGTCACGCTTCATTTCTTTAAAATGCAGAGATCTGCTGAGAGTACCTGCTATCTATCCCCTGAGGGCCAAGTTATTGTCAGCCTCTTAATTCCCTCTTCTCTTCCAATTTCCTTGAGGATCCAGCAGCTGTACTGAAAGATGAAGAACTTACATAGACCTGAAATTTTAACAGAAATTTCTCCAAGATGTGCAGAAGCATTTCAAATAACACTGAAATAATAGTAGAACAAAACATTAAAGTGCTGTCCAGAAGTGACATTGCCGAGTGCTCAAGACTCCTGCCCACAGAGATAGGCAAGCATTCAAACACTACTATACTTACTGGGTTACATTATTGCCCCTGCAAGTTTTCTTTACTCCGTTTTGCTGAGTTAAGTGACACATACAGTGGAAAGCTGCAATGGACACTTGCTGAAGCCACTGGTACAACTGGTTTTGTAATGTGATTCACATAAGCTGTACTTTGCTAGGATAGAAACACAACATGGTATTCCCTTATCCACAAAATTAACACACAGTGAACTGTTTTAAACTGTAATTCTAAAGTAACTCTCACATACTTGAACAGCTTTTTGGGACCTCAGTCTTTATAGTGCTGGCTGATGATATAACACACTCTAGTTACTGGCAGCACATTGCTTGTGCCTCCATGGTATGGGCAGAAGGGAAAGAGAGAGAACAGGACAGGAAAAAGACAGACTTGTTGAACTGATCTTCGCAACACAAATTAATTCACAGAGCACAGCACAAATTAATTCACAAATTAACTCTTCTGCTTACAGTGAAGATTGTTCTGCAGTTTCTCCAATCCAAGCTGTGTTACTGAAAACCCCCCAAAGAAAGAGCTTTTAATGAAGGTAAAAAGTATATATACATATTTTTAATATGCACTTAAGTCACAGTATCCGTTTTGAGATCACTACACCAGGTAACATTTTCATTTTAATCATAAAGCATTTTATAAGAGCCTGTCCATACACTGAAGCAGACACCAACTAAGAAAACTCAAAAACAGTGCTTTCAGAACAAAAATAAAACAAGTGATCAGCATTCTTTCCATTCATATCAAAAGCTGCACAAATGTAGAAGTCTCACAATCAGTTAATGAAATCAAAGAAGCCACACATTCCAACATTTTTGGCAGTCCTTACCTGACATCAGTAGTAAAATGTAACCATAAATCTAAATAATGCCATTTTCAACATTCTGAATCATTCTAGCAAAAGGAAAAACAATCTTCTAAATCATTTTTTTCCCCTAAGATGAAATACATTAAGAGAACAGCTACTGAACAGAACACATTGAAATGAAGACAGACCTGGTGCTCTAGTGGAAACTTAGCTGAAAGTTGCATATTTTATATACTTAGAGATTTTTTTTTCAAGTCTAAACACTAGCTGAGAACTGAAAGAAAAAGACGGTTGTTAGAAGTTTGGGTTGTGACCACTTACAGGTTGCACAGTGCATACACATACTCATTCTTTTTGCAGTATTTATTTGCAAGGCTCTAGCACTGAGATTTCTCCTTCTGCAATAAATTATTTACTATGACATAGTGTATAGAATGATGGTGAAACATTTCTTGAGGACTCAAAAGACAGACACCTTGCAGAAGTCCACGCCTGAAAAAAATGAGAAGTGGAGACAACAGCCTCCTTGTGTCTTCATTAGCTAGATCCCTTCTCCTCTTTGGCTACGGAAGCTTCCATAGGATTAGCTTCTAAATCTTTGCTCGACTTCTCTTTCTCTTCTTCTTCATCCTCTTGGGGGTAAAGATCTGGGTATTTTTGCATGCACTCCTGCATCGCACGGAATTGGTCCACACAGTCTGATCCCTTGATTTCTTCTGTGCTATAGTGGAAACAAGAAAACGCGGACTTGAACTGTTCCCCACAGGGACCACTAGCCATTCCACCAAGACACGGGCAATTCCAATTGATGTCTCCACTGGGCAATATCAATCCTGAACAAACAAGAGAGAAGAAAAATTAAGTGCTCCTTTCAAAAACTAATTTCCTTCCATGAAAGCTGCTACATTGCAGGAACAATCTAAAGCACCAGGATTGTCGTACTGACTGTGTAGCTTCAAGCGTGCAAATCACCTTCCATTTTCTGACTAGCTTGTTTCTAATTCTGGCCTGTATGATCTATTACTGGGCACAAGTCAGTAGTTTCATCTCTCTCAGCTAAGTCTTTTTACCTTGACTACAGCCTGCCGGAAATATTCTAAGAAAAGTTCAAAATGGAAACAACCATCAGCTGGCACCAAGGCAATCTACTCAAAGGACCTGTCAGAAGAGCATGAAAGCCTTAAAATGTTTTCACACAAGTTGTGAGAAGTTACCATCAGTATTAAGAATAGAACTCATTCAAACTAAGATGGATGGATACTGTTTTTCAAATGAATTTGCAAACACTAAATCACAGCTTTCCCTTCAAATTTGAACAGGAAAACCAAAATCACAAAACCAAAGCCATAGATCAGCTTATTTGCAAGACATGCATAGATCAACTCAAATCCCACAGAACAGAGGAATAGTAAGTGCATGCCAACATGCTTAGTTCCACCACCAAAAACAAACAAAATCCCTCAGGTTTAGGTTAAAAATGAAAATGAGTTGCAGTTTCTGCTCTAGAACAGAGAAATTAAATACTTGTATGGTAGAGGACAAGTTGGAGAGTGCTGGTAGACCAAGGTGAAGATTTAAGTTAGCAATATTCTTTGAGATATCAATTGATAGGCATGACATATTTCAAGCAGGACGTTTAAAACTGTAATATGCATCTATGCGTGACAACAGACTTGTTCATGTTGGCTTCTGGATTCTTTGCTATATTGCTTTAAGTAATCAATATACTTTCATTCCCCTTCTCTACCTCACATAAGCATGCATGACGTTACGTTCATCAATAAAAAACACCGTCCTGTGATCCAAGTTAGTTTCTTCTCTATTTTGACCTTTTTTTCCCCTCTCTCCTTTCTCTAGAGGTTAGTCCTTTCTCAGTGTTGATCAGTGTCTTTCACATTGCTGTAATGCTTTCCTCACTGTGACTGTCTAAATGCTGTTAGCATTGCCATTTTTCATAGACTGAGCTTTATACAACAGGATAATTTTGTAAGATTACTGTGATAATCACTGTACTGAGCTAACAGACCTAGTAGAGTGCATCATGGCATCTCTGGCTGCCTGAAAGCAAAGCAGAACTTTTGAGACAAGAAACTGGATGGCTAGCGCCAGATTCCTTTTTGCCAAGAATGACATAAAGCAGAAAGAAGAGACGTTGATCACGCAGTGTAGAAGAAATATGGTTTGCTTTGTAAGCTAGATTTTGAAGTTCTGTATTCCTCCCCACTGACATCAAGCACTCACTTTAAAACAATCAGTTTTCTAACACTTCAAAAACGACACAAGAGCAGCTTTGGGTTATTATTGGAGACACCACAGCAATAAAACTACTTGTCAAATAACTCTTAAAAATAGAAATTGTTTATTTTAAAACCAAAATTGCCTTTGGAGTGTGCAAATTTAACAAAGTAGCAATTATTCTTCAAACAATAGATTCCTGGATACCATATGAGCACTGGTTTGTGTTATTTCATGACTTAAGTGATATTGGTTTCTGATGCTATCAGCATAGAAACTACCTTTTAAAAAGCAAACAAATGAGGCAAGCATTTCCTCACTGATAATTACAGCAGAATGCATACTTAAACAATTAAAATCAAAACAGATCTCATTCATCATTCTCCATGAAGCACAAGAATGCAATACGTGGGGTGATTATTTTTAATTCTCTGAATTAAAACTCCTTTCAAATGCAGTCTCACTGATTCAGTGGGTCACAAGGTCAGATCAAGGTTTGGTTCAGCCCTTGACTGCTGACCTCACACATCCTAATCTCTTTCAGCTCAGGGAATCTGTTAACATTATGGATGAAGGCAGAACATCTGCCATCACATCAACACTTGTCTTTGTACTTGCTGTAATGAAGTCCCACTCTTGTTCCGATAAAACTTTCTTCCATGTTACAAGCCAAACATTCAAATAACAAGCTGATCTGCTTGTGACATGGCAGAAATGAAGAAAACAGGAAAAAAAGGGACTGCATAAGGAGAAAAAAAAAAAAGTCTTGCACATCTCATTCATTTTATCAAGTTCTCCCTTAAAAGAAGAAGAGAGTTGAGAGTTTTTGCTTCACTATTTCCCTCTGGAGAGCGTTATAAAACTTAAGCTCCAAATTAAGATGAAAAGAATAGGTCTGGGGAAACAGAAAAGGGACAGGACAGCAACAGTCTGTACAGGAGTTTTATAAGCACTTTCAGACAAACCTATTACCACAACTGTCATGACAATAAATATTAATTTTCAGCATAAAACTCACTAGTGTCCTTTTCACTGAGGCGAGCTAAAGTAAGAAACCATTCTATACCACTGGAGCAAAGCTCCCAATGTGAACTAGAGACCTTCCAAGTTTAAATTTCTTGTTTACAATAAATAGGACTGAAAAAGATTGACAGAATTAGAGCACATTATGCTACAGAAGTTGAACACTGGAAACCAAATATTCCATTCAAAGTAGAAGCTAAATTAGAAAAGCCTGCATTTTAACTTATGTAAAGCAAAGTCTTGCAATTTTCTTTTAAATAAAAACCATACATGAGACAGAGTTGCTGCACTACAACATATTCTAGAATGTTTTGCCCATGTCTTCTCTGCCCACAGAGCTCTCTCCCATTAGATGCAGTCACACTCTGTGCAACGTGAAACATTTCTCTGTTTTGATCTGCCACCTTGTAGTCTGAGACAGCTCAAGTGGGAAGTTTTCAGAGAGCACTTAAAATGTGGCAATAACTTACCATATGCTAAGAAAACGCTGAACAACAAATATTTAGGCACACACAAAAATTCGCTTTCTGAATCATACAGATACACATTTTCATCATAAGATTTCCCTGACATAACTAGCTTCTGGCTTTTTCCTCTTTTCTACCCTGAAGCAGGTAGGAAGCAGGTGAGCCTACTCTTCTCAATAGCTTCTCCACACCTAACAAAATACAGAGGTAATACTGGATATATATAATCTAAACAAGCAGGAAGGGGCTTCTTTAATTTCCATATCCATAAACTGTTTTGTGAACCTCTTCCCCAAAGTGATTCTGCCTTGGTTAGGTCAACAGTGACTCCACATTTACAAAGAACTTGGGCTGGACAAAGTTTCACACATTTTAAACTAAGCTATGTGTTTTTTCTAGGAAATGAGTATTGCAGTTTGATCAGGCAATGGTTTACAAAACACTTATCATGCCGTGATCAAATCAGAGAAGGAATTCAGGATTCAGAACACTTCTGAACAAAACTATCAAATTCTTGAAAAGGTAGGTTTGGTATTGACTTGAGCATGCCATGGAAAAATTGTTGTTATACTTGAAATAAGCTTATTTGTTCAGGTAATAACATAAAACAATTTTTGTTCTCAAATTTTCATCCGCGTCATAAAACCTGAACAGCCTCACTACTGTCTAGAGAATAAAAAGTTCAGATGTAGCTGTTGACTGTGCATACCGTTTTAATGAAGCACTGAATCCGGGACAAGCAGCTAAATGCAAAATCATTTTACCACAAATCTATGTATGGAAACAAAAAAGTTATTTTAATGACAGAGATACTGTCATTAATACACTGCATAATTAACTACATAATATGTCAGCTAACAAAGCACCCATGTGCTCCAGCTGCTATACTGCGCATAAACACCGCCCTCTAAGGGTCACAGAGCCACTTGCAAACCTTCTTTTTTTTTTCCTCCTTTTTTTACTATTTTACAATGTTTGTTGTTTTTGTTAAGAGTTTATTTCTAGCTCAGCTAAGTTGAAAGCAATGAGATGACTTCACAGAAAGAGAACAAAAACTAAAGTTAAGGTAGGCAGCTGTGGAGACTGACCCAGTTCTCCTGAACTGCTCATTATGACTTTAAAATGGGATTCCTCAATGAAAGCAACCTAACTGAAATAAATATTTTAAAGAGCAAGCTAAAGAGATTAAGAGGCCATGAAGCATAAAAGTAATTCTGCATTTTTCCAATACAAATTCACAGATGTTCCTTAATTAAGTGTACTTAATTACTGAGACAGGAAGAAATTTAATTTACCTAGTAGAACCATCTTTAAATATGATCTCAAAAAATCATCTTGTAAAGCAGAACTTTACAAGTACTGATCTCAGAAATATTTTGATTGCTCAAACCTCCTTAAATAGTTTATTTTCAGGTTAGATATACTTAGAGTCAGAACTGCAATTTTCACTTAAAACTTGAACTCTCTTTTTTAAGATAGTTGCATTTGACAAATGAATGAAGTTGTCTCTTGTGACATTCGTGCGACATTAAAAGATTTTTGTACTAGTTAATGATATATTACTACTAGCATACTAAAAGATTAGTCATATACATGTAATTTGTATTAAAAGATATTTGCAGAGGGATTTTTTTCTGCACGTACAAAGGTGAGCAACATCTCAATGACTAGTATGCATTTTCACTCAGTTTCTCTGAAAATTGTACGTTATTATCCAAAGGCAGTGAAAACTAATCGGAATTTCACTGGTTAAGCTCTGACTACAATAGCACAAAAACAGAAAGCAAAGGTTTTTCTAACTATCTTTTACTGCTAACTGAAATTATATACCAACTGATGCATTTGAACAAACCACACTGAAAGACGAATAAAAGTTTTGAGAAAAAAAAAAAAAAGGTTTATTTACTGAATAGTGAGTAATGGCTCTATTACCTTACTTAAAAAAAAAAATTCTTCCTGCAAGGTTTGGCTTTTGTTGCTGTGGAAGACTACTAGAACATCACAAATTGTGATGCAATCCTCCTTATTCCATTACTCTGTGTGCTACTGACCTTGTTCTTCGTAAGGGTCATCTGGGTCATCTGCAACCAGCTCAGCACTGCTTGGTGTCTCGTGGTCCTCTTTGGTCGCAAATATAATTCTGTCTTTTCCTGTCATTAAAAAAAAAAAAAACAAGCAAAAGTTCAGAGAAAACCAAGTCATTTAGAGAACAAGCCATTTACAAAGCTGCTGAACATCATGTGTTAATAGCTAATGAACTCTATATAACTTATCAGTCACCTTCAACTAAACCACTTGCTGGTTCAGAAGATCCCATATAAGATGGGAATTTGGCAAGTATCGAAAGGAATACTGCTAAGATTTGCTAGAGATTTAAAGATCAGACCTATAAAAGAAAAAAGGTCAGGTGTTAATTAATCTAGAAGGAAAGTTACAGCAGGGAGAGAAATGGATCCTGTCCTCTTTGCTCTGCTCACGTGCCTGTAAGAAGTTATTTTCGTGAGCCAATGGAAGTAGCAAAAAAGTCATAACTCAGTAGAGTGATTTATGATCACTGGTTCAGTTAGGCAGTAAAAGTACATATCCAGGGAGATAGGGACAAGTTCTCACTAAAAGGATACAAGATAAAACAAGTGCTCATTTCATTGGGAGGCCAGCAACAGCTATCAGCACTCACAGTAGCGGATAGTAGGAGCGGGATTGCAGGCTATTTTTGAGTTGTGGTGGCTTTTAAGACACTTTATAGAAATTTAAAACCCTCCTGAACTAAGAGGTTAGCACAGTGGAGCCAACACAGTGCGGGGCCAGGTGATAGGAGCACGCTGCCCAAAATAAGATTTCTTAGTGATGCTAACAGAACAATCACCAAATACACAAAAGAAACATAAAAGAAGTAACCTCGCTCTTGTTACACAGAAAAGAGTGAGAAAGAGGATAAAACTTTGGACAATATTATTTTAAGGCACTCATTTACATAGCCTCAGAATATATTCGAGCAGATCAACCATTCACTTGGTAAAATACACAAGCTAAATAAGATTTTATTGCTCTAAAGTTCTAATTTTCACAGCAACATCCCATAATAGCTGCAGGTCATAGAGGAGGATCAATGAACAGCAAAAGAAGTCATTTCAAAACGAGCCTGAACAACCGTTCTCTTACATGGACTAATCCAGATCAAGACACTCAAAAAAAAATGAGTAGCAAATGTACAACTTAAGAATTACAGAAAAGTGTTTGATATGATAATTTATAATGAGCAGTAGTCTGCCTTAAGACCAATGCAATATTTTATAACAGTAATTTCGAATAAAAACCACAGTTCCTAACAGCGCAGGATAAACTGTTTGGAAAGGTACTGTGAACATTACCAAGATGAGAAAAATAAGAGTTTCCTGCTCTTGTGCTATCCTTTAAGCAAGGTATTCAGGCACCTCTGCAGAAGAAAAGGGCAAAAGCAGGAAGCCAAAGTAGAATTTTCCAACAATCTTGTAAAACCACAAGAAAAATATAAAGACAGGAACGAAAAAAACCCACAAGGCACAACCAGAAAACACCCCATCTAGGCCAAGCTCCTCTAAAACACACAAATAGTTATTCATTGAGTAGAAAGAAAACAGCCAGTTCCGCAAGACCTTCCCCTCATTTCCCAAATTTTGAAGGGTTACAGCAGTAACTCGGCATATGAGAAGCTAGGATTTTCCGGCCTGGATTTTTGCCGGCTTGAAATTTTGTACTGAGTGACTTCACAGGAGCCAAAGGCGGGAAAGGAAAAGGCTTCCCCGGGGCGCCCAGCGGCCGAGGCTGCCGAGCGGCGCCGCCTGCGCCACGCGAGCGCCTCG